ACCACTGTCCTTATTCCAGTTTCTGCGATCCATCCTTCCATCTACCGTACCATCGCGCAAATAAAAAAATTGCTCACGTCACCCCAGATGGCACGTTAGTTAAGCCAACAACTCCCAACGGTATTAAACTGGAGCAGTTTGTATTTGATGTCTTTGATCGTAGCAAGTAAGTTCTTTCTAAACTGTCAAGTGGTAAGTTAGCTGGATCGTTCTAGAAACTTCTATATCTGGGAGGTCGAGCGAGAAGATGAGTTCAGTCCACTCAAAAATGCAGAATCAGCGGGAAAGGATTGCCTGAGCACTTGCAGAAGGGATTTGGCTTTCTTGCACAGGTACGCTTAGTACTTTCCTCCAACTTCAATTTGTCCTGATTTTCGAATTTCTTCCAGGAAATGGTTAAAAGCGGTCGGTGCCAAAATGGGAAATGATCCCGTCTACCTGAGCAGCGCGCTGAGTTACTGCGGCGAGGTGGGTCAGATTACAAAAGAGCGGTCATGGTATAGTTGTCACCCCCACCTAATGAAGTGTTTCCTCATCGTCATTCATTGCTTTCGTCTCTTGTCTGTCGGCACCTATGAGGTCACGGAATAATGCACAATACTTGCAGGGACTTGAACGCTTCAAAGATCAGGAGGTGACGGGACCGCTGGTACAGTGATCGACAACTTCTTCTCGGTGAAGGACTATATCTGTGATATAATTTTAATTCCAACTGACCCATTTGAAACATGACATAATTAATTTTTTTGACCCCTACCCTTTGGTTGTGTCGAATGCATGCTTAATAAATAATTTAAGACTTCTCAACTGAGTTTCGATGCATTTCACAGCTGCAACTTGTGCTCCATTGTTGCTCTGAACTAGAGGAGCAGATTTTGATTGATGGCTGTCAACTATTCAGAGATTCTGAATGCTGAACTGTTGTCCATATGATGAGTGGATGTCGCGAAACGTAACATTCGTTTGTTCGGAGTGATTCATTGACATTTCACTGCTAGCGATTATTTGTTTGATAAGT